TGGCACGCCATCAATTTCTGTGTGAAATAGATGGTGGGTCGAAGAAGTGCATTGTAACAATTTTCGATCTGAAACGACAAATTAAGAATTGCAATTCCATCTCACTCTTTATTTTCGTGACAAAACGAAAAAATAGCGATTTCTAGCCCTTTTTCGAGGTTTCACGTAAGTTTTATTTCCCTTTAAAAACCTAAAAAAATTCATTCTTTTCGCCATTTCTCCTTTTGATCTTCCACCCAAGGATTTGCCAGAAACACGAATTTCACTACGACGAAATTCCAATTTCGCGCGTACTTTCGTTACGGCGGCTGTCATCTGGGATGTGTGCCCCCCAATTGCTCTTGCCCTGCGAGGTGCACCACCATGTTTTTCATGACTTCGGAAGATCCCACTTGGACCACACACGACTTTCAGCGCCCCCCCTCGCATCCCAATTAAAATGGGAGGATGTCCCGGTTTCTATATATGGAGATATGGATATGGATATGGATAGACCAGACCAAGCAGTGCAGTCTCGTTACAAAACCGACTTCCGCTTCCAAATTTGAGCTCCAGCTTTAAATAGCTCAATTAATATAGATCGTTAGAATTTAAAGTACTAGGAATTACGCGAATCGACCCCAGCTTCCGCCTAGGTCTCGAAGGTGTTTGCTTTTTATGCAATCCGTGTTTATGCCTTGCCCGCCTCTCTAATGAGTCGCTTTATGTACAAAAGTTAGGCTTAGGCTCAGAATCTAAACACAAAAATATGACGTTTTTTAAGTTTTACTAGCTTTGTAGTCGTGACACCTTCTTGTTCTCAGCAGATTAGCTAATTAAATCTCCGCAAAACCTCTCACAATTTTCCAGGCCGTTTCGTTATCCTTAATTTTAATTCCACTAATTTCCGAATTCCAGTCCATTCACCACCACCGCCAACTGGCCAGACATCGTTTGAGGTGGATGGGGAGGATGGGGAGGGGTGAAGCTCTTTTTGGAAGACCAAAAAGGGGAGGGGTGGAAGAATGGATGCGAAAGATTGGACGACCGCCAAAAAAGGCCCGCTTTCGGGGGGACTGGCTGGGCCCCAAGAATGGGAAGACCCCCCTACTGGCTTCGGAACTGCCAACGGCCACTACTAACCCTCACTTTCTCGCTGTCGCTCACGATCCATTTTTGCGAAACTCATTCTAGCCCTCTGGGTTTGGAAGCTATGGAGCTGGAAACGTCACTTTAGGAAATCCCGCATCCCTTTGAATCGTTAAAGGGCTGGTTCAACATTTAGTGCTTGTGCTGGTACCTTGGGAAACTATGGACGTAGCCATACCGCGCCTGAACAGTCCCTCATTACGACAGCTATTAGATAGCGGGTTAGGAGAATTAGAGAGGCGGAGACACAAAAACGCGGAGAGGGTTCGACTCCTGGCCGCGGAAATTCTTTTACTTTATTCGCTGAACTAGCCCTTTAAGCACAGTCTAAAATTACAAAGTTTATGCTTTAGCAATCCTTCCTTCACATTTAGTGCTTCGCGTCTTTCAGGCCAGCCAAGCTTTTACACACTTTACCTTAACTTCAACATCCCCTTTAGCCTTCTCGGCAAAAACCGCTGCTTGCTGCAGTTTGTAGTGACGTCTTCGGGCGGCTAGAGCACCATCACAGACCAACTTCGCCAACCGCTCCTCCAGATTACGCTTTGGCTCGCTGATTTCGCGAGTGGCGATCACTAAGAAAAGTTATTACTCTATACGGACAAATCGATACCTATCTGTGCCAAGTACGCGCTCGTGGTCTCTGTGGTGTTAGCTTGGATCCCGAATCCAGAGGTATCCACGATTGATGCAGACTGGAGCTCAGGCGCAACGTCATCCGTCCATTCGGGTGCATCTAAAATATTTTTGTAGCTTCTAGTTTCACTTTTGTAGCTAAAATTTTTACTCGGCATTAGTATCAGGTCCCAAGTCCTAAATTCTCAACTTCATTTCCCCCTAGCGTCTCGCAAAATTTTCCGCACAAAAAGGCGCGGACCACCGGAAATTAGGTCCACTCGCCCGTATGAGGGCCAGTTGCTGGAAGCAGGTTTTCCGAATTCTAAGAATATCGTATGTAGTCGGGGCTCGTCATAGATACTTTTGGAGTTACTCGACCCAAACAGTCCGTTTTTTGAAAATAGCCGAACCCGATTGCCGATTAATATTAATTTTTGATACAGATGAATGTTTATACGACTATTTATTCCAACGAAAAACTTACCATTTTTTACAGGTTTTGGGCGATGAAATTTCTGCATTCTGAGTGCCAAGCATTTTCTAAGCTAATCTTGTAGTACTTTGGTGACTTTTACACCGTAAAACAGGCTATTCAGGTAGTCGGGGTATCGAATTTTCATTAAACTACCAAATTCTATGCAAAAAAAATCGAACTTAAGATATGTTAGGGAATCTTAAGGCATTTCCATCAAATGATAGAGCAATTTTGCCACGAAAGTCATTATCTTTCCCCCATTTGGTATCATAGTTATCTACCTAACGTTACGTTCGACTTTGTATCCTGGCGCTACAAACTACAGGAAAACTGCAAAATGGTTGGAATCGATCGATTCCACGTGAAAAACCTATTCTCGGTCCATCTAATCCCTGAACTTTTTCTTCTGTTGTTCCTATCTTCTAGTCCAATAAGTGATCCACCACTTCAAGTGCTACTTTTTGTTTACTTGCCTACCCCAAGTTATTCTAGCCTCCAGCAAGCTTCATGCTAGAACTGAGTCCTAGTGTGTGAAATGTTGGTCTTCCTTCCCCCACCCTAGAAGGGCCCTTCTTCCCCTCCGCAGCACTTGTTTATTTTTGCCTAATTCATCACGGGATTACGCGAGGGCCTGGCCCTGGGCCCTGGGCCCTAAGGCCCCAGCCTCAACCCTCCTACCCTGCGCCCTTTTTGGCGTTTTTCGTTTTTGTGCCCGGGTGTGGTTGGTGCGGGGCGCGTGGAATTCGGGAATTTGAGAAGTATTTGCCCGGGCTAGGCTGCTTGCCTCGGGCATTTCTGGTCTATTCTACCCGGGCTTCCCGTACATACCTAGTCTACTCGGGAGATCGGAAAGATTTAATTGTTATAATGCTTCATTAATTCACGAGGACTTCCAAAATTCGAAAGAGCATCGATTTTTCACTATTTTTTGGAGTGGTAATCTCTAGGATTGCCCAAATTTGCATCAATCTGGGAGTTTTCGATTTTTCCAAAGACTGGCGAACCCCCTTTAAGCGAAATTCGCAACTTTTCTCTGCTCGTATGCCCAACTCCTCGATTGTTTCTACAAGTTGCCCTGCAAAATCTATGACTGCAACTTTTCGAGTTTAGAGCTTTGTTTGTAGTTTTACTGATAGGAAAAACAGGAAGAAAATCATGATGCCACTTCCGCCATTGGTCTCTGCCAGCTTGCCAGGTTCTCAAATTTTAAACAGCTTAAAAATGCTAAAACCACTAGTATTATTTATAGGTGTGGATTTTTTGCAAGAATTCCCAAATAATCTCTGCTAGCGAGCCGAATTTCCAAATCATTCCGGCCAGTCCATTTCCTGAATGATCTCGGCTAGTCTGTCTTTTTTGATCTGTGCTTAGCTGGTTCTAAGGTCAGGTTTTCTACGAGAATAACAGTTTTTTTCGTGACCTTTATGGAAATGCCGAGCGCAAATTCTCAAATGAACTCTGCTAGCTTCCATTCCTGGTGACTATCGGCTCGCTACCTAAATACCCCATGTTCTCGACGATAATTATAGATTTCCGGTATTTTCCGGAATTATAGAGAATCCCACCATATGACTACATGATGCTCCCCGGAACGCCGGCTACCAAACGTTCCGTCCGTGGCGACAAACGTCAAAATGTGGCTCGTAGAGCAAAGGCCGTGTTCGCCATCTCGTGGCCCTCATTCTCCCCCCTTTCGACCGACAGATTGCTCATTCGGGCGCCCATTTTATAGGCGACTGGCCTCCCCCCTCCTCCTCTCGAACCCCTAGCTCGAAACGACGTTCTCCCCGGCGGCGTCAAACGTCAACGTTTCACCAGACTTTAGGCGTTCATGGGATGCGAGGGCTCCGAAATAAGATCTGTGATATTTTCAACGCTGACTTATCTCGTGAGCTAATCGTTTGAATAGGAAATGGTACTAATATTTGGTTTGGTATAATCTGATCCCATCCGTTTCGGGTTCGCAAGGCTCTTTTTTATCAAGTCCCTAGTTTTAAAGTACAACTTGCGCTAATTGAAGTCACTAACATCTTTTTTAAAACCCAAAAATAAATTTTTTATTAATATTTTACCTTATTTTGAAGCGCAGAAAATTATTTTAGGCTTGAAGCAAGACGGCGTTCCTGGGATCTGGACGTTAAGTTCTAGTTTTGAATGCGGCCTGACTCAGATATTCCGTTAAACCGTTCCGTACTCGGAAAAGCTTTGAATTAGAGATCTCGGATAATCCGAGCAACTCGACCACTAAAAGCCTGGTCTGCGAGGTTTTTTGGGGCAGAAACCGGTCAGAAGCCAGGGTTCTACTGTACGTGTAAGTTTTACGGTGAATTCAGCATGTCGTGTCACGGCTTACCACCATAAATACGAAAATTGATTTCAAAATCGAGCTAGTAACATTTTCGCGTTTTTACCCGTTGAAAAGCCTCCCTATCGCTCTCCGCTTCCCTTGACATTTTTCTAGCTAACAAGACCAAAAAAATGAGCACTTCCTCCTGCTCCCTCTGATTTTCCTAGAAATCCTCCGAAAGCACGACTTTTTTTTGAACGTCAAAGGAAAACGAAAGGAGCGACTCGGGCAGTTGTGGGGTGGTTTTTGTGAAATATTCATCGACTTACCCGTGCTGAGGGTTGGCGGTGAGGGTATGGGGGACGGGGTCCACGCAACCTCCGTTCCACCTCCGGGCAGCAAGGTTGGTTCGTCAGTTTGCAGGGGCCTTACTGAAAGGGAAAATTGTTTGATGCCACTATTGGATTGATTATGGACGATTGATAAAAAAACAGGGTTGATCCTTATGGAGGGTTACTCACATGTTAGAAACGGTTCAGTCGGGGGTGTGGCGTAGCCATCCAATCCTGGAGTGCCATCAGGATGTGGAAAATCTAAATTTAAAAGTTAACCTTAGCGCTTAGACTATTTTCGACTGGTTTTTGCCTGCAATGGTTTCTTAAATCGTTAAAAAATTCGAAATGTCGGGGTAAACCCCGCAAATTTTCGAAATATTGGAACCAATACGTTATTACGGGTCCCTATAAAAATTGTCGCTTCATTGAACCGTTAAATAACTTGAAAATTCCGGTCGACAACCTTTTGCGGATTTTAGCTGCGAGTTACTGTCAAAATCATGAAACTCTTACTTTCCACAAAAGTCGTGTAGTCCCGGTCCCACCATTGACTATTCACGTTTGGTATCCATATCAAAAGAAGAGTCAGGGCAAGCCAGGTGTTTATCATTTTCACGCTTCTCATCTCGATCTTCGTCCCTATGAAATGTACTGCACTTTGTGAGAAACCTAGACGTCGTTTTCTAGGTATCTTTTGTGGCATTAGGCTGTACTTTTATTTCACAGATTACAGAATCGACTGAAAACAGGAAATTGTAGCTTCCCGTGGCTTAACGAGAGAAAGTACTATAAGGCGGATTGTTCGAAGGAAGTAGTTTTCTTATTATTCAGTTCTTACATTCTTTTTATAGCCCAATTTTACGATATTCTTATTTTTAATCAAGCCATTAGCCAATTTTTAATATTTTGACCTATATAAATTTTGTCCTTGCTAGTCCCTTTCAATCGACTCTAATCTGGTATTTCACATATATGGACTTGTTGCCTTGCGGCTCGCTTTAAATGCTTTTAATTTGTGTTTCCAAACGCTACTTACTTTTTATTTTAATTTTTAAAATTAGGCCATGATAACAAGTTTTCAGTATTTTCATAGGGGCCAACCCCCCCCCCGCGCAGCGATTCCGATTTTACGTGTATCACCGAAAAAAAGATTGATATCCTTATGCTAATTTTGTCCAAACATGGCTGATTGCGAGACCAGCGAACCAAAAATCCCCCTTTTAGGAAAATAATAGAATTTTCTAAACCCCTTTCTCGCCTCCGGAGCTTTCGATTGGTAAAATCATTCCGCTCCGATCCGATCCGGGGGACACCCTGTATAGCGCTTTTGCCTTGCCAATCCCTTTAAACCCCGCTATTCTCGTGTTCCAAATACAACTTCGTCTTTGCTCTCCTTCCCCCCCCAACCAACCGACCATAATTTCCGAAAACTGCCCGTGGAAGATGCATGTTCCCTAAAATATAGGCCCCTTCTCCCCTCCTGGAGGGGTGCTCCTCCCCCGGGGATTCTGACAGACCGAGAAGCTTCTCCCCCCTCAACTGAGACGACGAACACCGCTTATCTGTTTCGAAGAAAAAGATGGACGGGGCCCTGTGTTCGACTCCATTTTTTTGGAAGCTGTACCTTGGCGAAAGTTTGGTTCTGTGTTACTGCTAAAATTTGGGAGCTCACTTCTAGAATTCGCCATTCCTTTGCTCCCCTATTGGAGCGATGGAAATATCCATTTTAAAGGGACTAGAAAGACAAAAACCGACCTCTTTCCATCTCGGCCTAGACAGACCTTACTATACTTACTACCTAAATGCAAATGCTTTCAGTTTGAACATGGGTATTCGGTTGTTAGGGCTGTCGAGACCTAGGCGAGGTAAGAGGACGAACCTGAGGTGTCATGGCCCCTTTAAATGGATCATGGATTAGAATAGAATTAAGATAGAATAAGACATGAAGAATAAATTTTAATGAATTTATTTTTTGAGGTCTTTGAGCGTACTTTACGGATTCGCCATAAAAAAACCTGAATTTTATCTTCCCGATTCCATCACGAGGGCAACAGTGCCATCTGGAGAGGCCATCCAATAATCATATGAAAATGCTTTTTACAGAATTTTACACAGATTTTGTGACATAGAAAGCTCATGAAAAATTATCATTAAAAACGCGCGAATTATGCGCAAAATTGTACAAAAAATCCTAAAGAAAGGCAAAATGTAGAATTTTTTGTGACGTTGTGGCCGTCAAAAATAATAAAAAACGCTATAAAACACGTTGTATATTGTCAACAGAGAAGTATAGGCGGAAAATACTTAGGGCAGGCTAGCAGTGATTCCTTATGAATGAAAATTATGGGGGATTTCCGGAGCGTGGCTTGGAAAAGCTAACATGGTTTTGGTGAAAACAGAAAATATTACGTTCAACTAAGCAACTGGATTCTAAGGGCAACGCTCTAGCCCGGCGCATTAATGATACTCCACCAAAAGCATACCGGAGCATCCAAAAAAAGAACTTTTACGACTTAAAAAAGTAATAGACAGCTTCCTGAAATGTGTTGAGTTGGTGGGCCTTCTCGACGATAGCCCGAACACACAGAGCAACCCGTCGGGGGCAGAAGCCGTGGCGTTGCTATGGGGCCCATCACCGGGCACCCCGGGTCCGTGTTGGCCCTCTAGGGCTGGCTGGTCGGCAGGGACCCACCACACACACACATATACCGCATATTCTCCCCTTCCTCTCACCGGCGGTGCTCGCCTTGCCAAATGCCCAAATAAACGACTTGCCCTTCCGGCGCGCACACCCCGCGGGGGCTAACACCCGCCAATTAGTCATACCCCCACCCTCGGCTTGGATATGCGACACTACCCGTAGACCCGTAATTAGGTTTTGTAGAGGAAATAGAGGGTTTGACGGGGATATCGAAGTGTAAAAACGCATCTGACAATCGTTTTATGCCGGTATCAATACATCCTTCTATTAATATACCATCACAGGCCACCATTTTTTACATTTTTGGACGCTACCCAACACCCACCAGGCAATCATTTCCATGACTTAATATGCGACACTACGCGTAATTAGGTTTTACTAGGAAATAGAATGTTTTAAAGGGCTATTCAAGTAAAAAAATGGGGTTTTGAATTTGAGGATTCCATAGCACTTTCAGTTTTCGGCGCCTTATTTATAATTCGGTTTTTATGCTCTAGAACTGGGCTTAGCTTTGGTTTTTTCGTCAGTCGCGGAAGTGCATCTTGGTATTTTTCAAGGACTATTGAAGTGAAAAAGCCGCTTTGTTAACTGTGGATTACGCGTAATTAACGGTTTAAGGAGCTTGTAGCCTAACCCATTAATTAGTTGCGTTTTGGGTTAACAGATTTTTAATTTTTTTACATGGTGCTTTCGCGACAAGTTGACCAATTTTTGCTTAAGTACCGTAAGCTAACAGCGGCCAATATCGCATTCTCACCGCCCTCACCATGCGTAGCGATGGTGAGGGCATGCGTGTCTGTGGATCGGCATCTGTCGTTTTTCTCACTTTTTGCGTATTTCATCCTAGAATGACTATAGAAAAAGTCTACCTTTTCCGAACCCAGAGGACCCATCACTTCCATTCCGGGACACTCCATTTGCCACCCTCCCTCGCTCACTTTCCCGGGCATTCATTCGGTTCAATTTGCAACTTCAATCCCAGCCGCCCGCTCCACCCTCGGGTCGTCAAATCGGGCGCACGCCATTTTTTTGCGGAGGGCAACATCGAGTTTCCGGATTTATTTTTGCAGAATTTTTGCATCGGAGAATTTATGTAGGCAGCTATTTTTGCATCTCAAAACTGGACTGACTTGGAAATGACACCCTCGCAGAAATTCTTCACGAATCCACTTGCTAGCAGTGACTCTTTTGGAAAGGACGGGCTAGCAGAGGTCACCTGGGGCTGGGCCAGCTGGCAGCAATTTTTAGGAAAGGCCTCGCTAGCAGACTTACATTAGGAAAAAGGCAAATTGGCTTTAGCAGAGGTTCCTAAAGGGAGCAGGAAGACAGAACAAATTAGCATAAAACGGGTTTTGGTTCTAAAACTAGTATAAATTTTCACTGCTCAATTGTTGCAATAGCATTTCCGGTTGGCTCATTGCCAATTATGGATAAGCCCTGATCTAATGGACCTTCCCTAACCCTGTAAGAAAAGGGAGTTCTGTTCTATTTCACGTGGGGGAAAAAACTGTGGGGGGGGGAATTTTCTTCGCTTTGTTATAACTCTTTTATATGATGCTATTTTGAGTTGTCATTAAAACTCTTAGTATATTTTTTTGACGCTCTATCGAATGGCATTAAAGAAATTTTTGAAAGTTATCGAAAATGTCGAAAGCTAGCTTTCGACTCCACGATCCCATGTGGAAACACCGAATAAATCTTGTTTTTGCTATAACTATTTTTAGATGAAATTAAAGCTCTTAGTATATTTCTTGATGCTGTATCGAATGACGGGTTCAAAATATCGAAAAAATGGCGAAAATGCCGAAAACTAACATTCCGGAACCAGTTTCAATAGTTTTTTTTGCTTTTGCTATAACTTTTTTATATTACAATATTTTTAGTGAAAACAACTCTCTTA